TGTTGGAAATAATTATGGGACATATGTGAGGAATTTTGAAATAAGAAAATATTTTTTAAATAGGGAAACATGAATTGAAAAATTTTAGAAGAGGAAGATCATTTGAAAAAAAAATTTAATTATTTTTTTTACATATATATATAATATTATTGCATTTTTTAATATTAATAAAAATTTGATTTTTTTTTAAAAAAATTAAAAAAAGATATTTTTTTTAATTATCCTTTTTTTGAAAAAATATTGTTTATAGTCATTCTTCTAAAATAATAATTTTTATATTTTTTCAATTTTTTTTTTGTGAGTAAAATTTCGAATTTCCCCAATTTTTTTTTTACCAAAAATTATTGCATTTTTTTAATATTAATAAAAATTTAATTTTTTTTGAAAAAAAATTAAAAAAAAAATAATTTTTTTTTAAATTATCTTTTTTTTGAAAAAAATATTTTTTATAGTAATTCTTCTAAAATAATAATTTTTATATTTTTTCAATTTTTTTTGACAAAATTTTCAAATTTCCTCAAAATTTTCTTTACCAAAACTTTTGATTTTTTTATTAGAAATTTTTCACCACGAAAAAAATTCCACTTTGGTGGTCCTCCCCACAAAACAATTTTCCGAAGAGACTGCCAAAGGGAGAGAGTGCGAGAGCTCCTAAAAATTAGCCATTAGAACACTTAGTTTTTCATGTTGTGTTTAGTGGCATAGAACATTTTTGTTTATTACGCCGATTGGTAGACCAAAACAATTTGCAAAAGACTAACCGAACGACCGTAGGACAGACAGACATTCAAACATAAAACTCATTCATATATACAAATTATATGGCCGCAATGTTCCGTTTTTTTATTAATGAAAAGCTGGCTACCTTCGAAGGCTGTGGGATGGGGAGGAGAGGGAGGAAATACAAATTTGTTTTGTTGTTGTTGTATTTTTACGACATAAACATATAACTTTTTTATGACATGGCCTTAACAAAACAATTGTCTTCTTCTTCTGCTGCTGCTGCTTTTCGAACATCAAAGGAAAAAATGCCCAAGTCATAAAAAAGGCGGCAATTTCCTTGAGCTCCAATATTTTTTCTTTGTGGAGTGCTGGACCGACCACAGAAGAGGGTGGTGTATATGGGGGGACTATATATATCATAACATCTAGATATTGTTTATGGACCCGGTGACTTTATGTCTTCTTCTTGGTCTTATTTCAAAACATTGGCAAATCAAAGGCAGAAAATATGAGAAGAAGAAGAAATCAATTTTATGATTTTTTGGCAAAGGGGGAGGGTGAGGGCAACAGGTTTTTTTATACAACAAAAAATGAAGATGTTGATCTTTTTGGGGGGGATTTACAGGTGGTTATGGATAAAGGAGGAATATTAGAGGCATGCAAATTACACACTATTCAAAAAAAAACTTTTTTTTACTATTTTTTTAATATAAAAAATATAATTTTTTATATATCAAAAAATATAATTTTTTATAAAAAAAAAAAAATTATTTTTATTTTTCAAAAACTATAATTTTTTTATATCAAAAAATATAATTTTTTATATATCAAAAAATATAATTTTTTATATATCAAAAAATATAATTTTTTATATATCAAAAAATATAATTTTTTATATATCAAAAAATATAATTTTTTATATATCAAAAAATATAATTTTTAATATATCAAAAAATATAATTTTTAATATATCAAAAAATATAATTTTTTATATATCAAAAAATAATATATTTTTTTTAAATATTCACATTCAATTTATCTTGTGTGGTCTGTAAAATTTCCTTACAAAATTTCCCATTTTTTCTTTCCTATTTTTTTTTATTTTTTCAACAAAGCCACCAAATAGCTTGCCACAATACCAACAACATCACTATTACAACAAAGATGTGAGAAACTATTAAAAAGTCATAAACATTTATAATAAAATTTTTTTTTTACCACAAGAGTCGGTGGTAGCCGCAACACTTAGAACGCCAGCCAGTCCGCCAAACGACCAACCAAGCAGATAGTAAAAATTTGTTGCGCTATTTCAAGGTGGTATGCAGATGAAGAATGTATGGTTGTATGTAGGTCTGTCTGTCTGTCTGTATGGATGATGGTTTGGTGGTGGTAGCCAAAGAAGCTATAAAACACTTTCAATTTCTTTGCTTGAAATCAATGATTTTTTGATTTGGTTTCGTTTCGATTTCGATTTTTATGATTAATGGCAATAAAAACTGATTTGAATCAATTTAGGAAAAGATTTCAAAAAGAAGAACTGAAATGGAATTACTGGGAAATAGTTTTTGTTGTTGTATTTTTATTTTGTTGGGTAGCATAAATGAAAATCATGATCATAAAAAAATCTGAAGCAATATCTCAAAGAAAATTATGAAATCAAAGCCATGGTAACAGTGGCATTTTTTTGTGGGGATAATAAAAGACGGAGATCGTAATTAAAATTCGAAATGGTTTTCAAACCTATTAAATTTTTCGGAATATTTTTTTTTATTTTATTGTATTTATTGTAATATAAACAAAAAAATTGGAAATAATTATTTATTTTATTAGTTGCTCTCTGGAGAGCGACAAAATTGTTGTCTCTTTAAAATGAGGGGTCATAAAAATTTTGTTTTTTTAAGTTATTAAATTTTAAGATTTTTTATTTTATTTTTATTTGGACACTAATAATGTAAAGAAAAAATAAAAATTGTGGTTTGGCTTTAATTTGTTTCTAGAGAGTGAAAAATTAATTTTAAATCTCATAAAGAAAATAATGAAAAAAATAATTTAAAAAATGAAAATAATTTTTTTAATTAAATTTTTTAAATTTTGAGTATTTTAAGATTTTTTATTTTATTTTTATATTGACTACCACATTGTACACAATAAATAAAAATTGTGATTTTTCATTTTCTACTCTCTAGGGAGGAATAAAAAATTACATTTATAAAATTAAAAAATAAATACATTTTTTTGAATTTTTCAAATATATATTTTTTAGGCATTTCCGAAATTTTAAGATTTTTTGTTTCAATTTTTATTTAATACCCATTATATGAATAAAAAATAAAAATTATATTTTTGGATTTTTTTCATTCCAGAATAGAATAAAAAAATAACTAAAAAAATCAGAAAAATTTGATTTTCTTAAAAAATATATTTTTTCAAGCATTTAGGAAATTTTGAGAATTTTTATTTTATTTCTTAAATAACACCCATAATCTATATGTAAAACCATACTTTTATTTTTAATTTATGCCTCAGCCGTATGAAGAAAAAAAATTAATTTCCTAAAACTCAAGAAAATTCCATTAAAATAGGTACTATTTTAAATACTAATTTTCAAGTGTATTGCAAATTTTAAGAATTTTTATTTTAATTTTATATTAACCACTGTTATATAGATAAAAAATAGAAATTGTGTTTTTTTTTATTTACTCTTCTATTCTGCCAATTGTTAGGTGATCATATTATTTGTCTATGAAAAATTACAATTGCTTATGTCAACTCAATTACCGCTACTGTTGTCTGTGTGTGTTTGGCTTAGTGATTTTAATATTAATTTCCTTTTGATGACCATTAATGAAGCCTATATCTCATAAATCATATTATGATTACGATAATACAGTGGGCAAAAAAAATACAACAATAATAAATTACAACTCAACACAGCAGTCGATCATTGTAATAATAAAGCAAATATTTAAAATGATTTCAATGAACGAGTGTGAGAAAAAATTGCAAGTACAGTGGGACAAAATAAAAATTAGGCATAAGAGAATATATCAATTTTTTAAATACCATTTCGTTCAGAATTTTAAAAATTTTTTTTCTTTTTATTTTTACTTTGAAATGTGATTTAATTTTTTATTCTACTTTTGCCCCACTGTCCATTTGATATATGTATATGAAAAAAAGTCAACATATTTAAGAAGAATAATAACAACATGTGATTATTATTGATCTGTTCACATTCATGCCAGGCTTGAATGCTTGTTTGCTGGCACAGATCTCACGCCAAATCTCCCAGAGAAACAACAATTCCGCATGTCATTTTATTATCAGCAAAAACTCCAAGAACAACAACAACAAATAAGATTTTTTTGCTGTACAACAATAATTCTCAGGCATTATTCTTATTATTATTTTCAAGCAATTATCATGATCGACATTTTGAAATATTAAGCTTGATTTCGTTCTGTGGCAACTTGTCTCAACTGTCCAACCATATTGTCGAGTCTGTCCATCCACCAGCCATCACAACGCAACATGTTGTTGCTGGTTGATGTATGTGTTTATAAATAATATTATTTATAGCATTTAATCAGTAATTTATTATGAATGTATTAAATTTATATACAATACATATATTGTGTGCTGGGTGACCTCTAACGACCTATAACAGTCAGTTTAGACAGTTTTGATTGCAAATAAAAAAATGTATGATGATTTTTTTTTTCTACAGAATTTTTTTTTTGTGTTCTTCATTTGAATTTTTTTAATTCTTTTTCTTTCGGAACGTGTTTGTGTGAGTGTGTGTGTAAAAGACTAATTCCTTTATAATTGCTTTTTTCGTTTTTCTGTTGTATTTTTCTTATTTGCCTCAAGTCACGCCTTTTAAATTAAATGTTAGGCCCTACATTTTTATTTTTTTGTTTTGGGTTGGTTGTTGTTTTTTTCTTCTTCTTCTTCTTCTGTACTGCCTTGTGGCTGTATCATTTGTAGGGATTCCTTGGTCTATTATTAAATGTAATAGTATATTTAGCAGTGGTAAAATGAAGTGGAGAAAAATAAAACGGAACTAAGTCGAATACACCATTTGCCACCATGTAGATAATCAAGGAGAAAAAAATGGGTGGGCTTAAAAAAATATTAAGCAATTGTGGAAAACCAGAAATATTTTTTTTAATTTTTCAAAAATTTCCTAAAAAATTCCTCAAAAATTTTTTCCATTTTTTTAGATTTTTAAAATTTTTTTAATAATAAAAAATAATAACGTGAAAATTTGCACTTACCAGGGTCTGATGTATCTAGGACAGGTGGTTGTTGAGATAAGGGACCAGGTGTACTACCAGCGCCCGGCGATCTAGCATCTTCGTTCATGGCTCCACCATATGATAAAGATGAACTAGGAGGCCGCTATAAAAATAGAAAGGAGAGAACAAAATAAATAAAAATTAGTATTTTTAGGAAAAATATGAAAACTAGGGACTAAAAATTAGTATATTAAAAAATACTAAAAAATAAAAATATTAAAAAAAAATATTTTTTTTAACTTTAAAAAAAAAAAAATAAAAATGGAAAAAAAATAAAAATTAATATATAAAAAATATATTTTATTTTTAAAAAATATAAAAATTTATATTAAAAAATAAATAAAAATATTTTTAAAAAATATTAAAAAAATATTTTTTTAACTTTAAAAAATTGTAGAAAAAAAATAAAAATTTATATTGAAAAATATATTTTTTTTTTAAAATATAAAAATTTAAAAAAAAATAATATTGAAAAATATATTTTTTTTTAAATATAAAAATTTATATTTTTAATTATTCCAATAATGTTTTTATTTCATTTACATTTAACAAAAATTAATTAAAATTATATAAATTAATAATTATATTTTAATTTATTAGAACAAAAGAAAATACATAATTTTTTTTAATAGCCCATAAAAATAAATTATTAACCACCAATTAATAAAAAATATGTATAAAAACAGCAACAACATATATCCCTCCTTTTTCAATTTAGCCCCAAAGAAAAAAAAACAAATTAAAAATTCACAACAATTTAAAAGCCATAAAAATTGTTTTTTTATATTATTTTTTATTATGGTGTAAATACTTTGTAAGTAATGTTCATAAAAATTTTATTTATTTATTTATTTTTTTTTTGTGTAATTTCACCCAAACCTCACAAGAACTTCAAAATACCTTTATTTGTATTTTATTTATTTTTTGGTATTGAATTATGCAAATGAAGGCACGTTTTTAAACGAGGTGTAATTAATATAATTAAAAATACATTATACAAAAAACAAAATACCACAAAAACAACAAACACACAAACAAATTTATTTGATTTTTGTTAATACTGCAGAATGTCAAAGACAAAAAAGACGAAGAAGAAATGAAAAAAAACGCCAAAACACAAACCCTGATGAATTTCAATTAAATTGAAGACAAATTACCAATATTTTTTGTTGTTGTATTTATTGTTTGTCTTGTTGTCTGTCTGTCTGTTTTTTAATTCTATTAACAGTCAATGGCTGTGTTATAATGCCTTTTGCATAAAACACAAAAAAGCCGCTGAGAAATGTCAAAATGTCAAATGTTGGGATTTTAAATATTTTCTGTCTGTTTTTGCCTATTTGAGTCTTATAGGAAAGCCAGCATTTGTCGTCTAGACTTTTTGTCTATACATGGGCCAGTCGGTCGGTCGACCAGCCATGTCAGTAGCTTGGGAAATTAATGCAGAAAATTATTATGGCTGATAAGCGAAAAAACCCCTGGGCAGGCTGACTGGTGCGTAGCTACTTAGTTTTCTAAGCTCTGTTTTGCACACACAAAATAATGATGGTGGCATACTAATTTTTTCTGCAAACCTTCAATGTTCGGTAAAAGAAGAAGAAGAAGAAGCAGAGTTAAGAATATTATGAATTATTAAATAGCAAAGCAAAAAAATAATACTCCTTATGAGACCAAAAAACAATTTTATGCTTATTTTGCAAGAAAATAAAACCACAGGAGTTCCAGCCACTACTCAGGGCTAAGAAAACTCCCCAATGCATCGAAGGATGGACTACCTTTGTGGTTTTAAAAAAAATAATTTACGCTCAGAGAACTTTTATTTTGAAAAATATTTTTTTTTTTATTTAAAAAACAAAGACATCATCCAAAGTTACTGAGCTGGTCTTTTGTTTGAGAATTGGTTTGGTTGGGTGGGTTCGATGTTTGCTTCTTGTCACACAGACAGACAGCCAGCTTGTTGCTTGGCTTTGACTTTGTCTCTTTTGTCAAAAGTGCGTGCTGTGAATTTTATTAAATATGAAGGAATATATTTAAGAGTTAGTGTTGCTGTTGTTGTAATGTTGACATTTTCCCAAAGCCTTGAATTTTAAATTTAGTTTAAATTTGTGAATAATCAAGTATGTTTTTGTTCACAAAAAAAAAAAAAAAATAAAAAAATACAAAAATAAAATAATTTAAGAGGATAAAGGGAGAGATCTCCCCTTCTTCCTCATACAATATTTTGACCTTTGTTCCCTATTTTATTTTATTTAATTTTATTTTTTGCGGGGAAGAAAAAAAATCACTTTCAAGTGGTATTCTTATCTCTCCTGGTCTTTGGCCTGACCACACATTTTCACTTAATTGTTAATTGTATTTTTCTCAAATCAAATTTGTATTATTCTTCCCAGCACCTCCTCCTCACTTTATTTCGGAGAATAAAAATTATTTTTTTAATATAAATTTTTATTATTATTTTTTTCTCCCACTATAAAATCATTTCAATTGATCTGCAACGACCTTCCTTACCCCTCAACCCGCTCTTCCCTCATGGTTAAGTAATAAACAAATAATTAAAAACCCATATGAAGAATTTTTTTATGAGGTATAAAATGATCGATTAAAAAACTATAAAAAAAATCGGATTCTTAATTTTTTTTAATGATTTTCAAGTGGAAATCAATCAAAAAGAATGGAGAATTTAAAATTCCAAAAGGGTGAAGAGGGGAAAGAAAGGTTAATATTAATAAAAATTTATGAATATTGAATAATTTGGTCTTCAGAAAGGTTAGAGTTCACATAAAATTAAATTAAGAAGACATAATTCTCATTGACTTTGTTTCAATGGCGGAAATTTGGGGAGCTGATTTTTTTAAATTAAAATTTTTTTAATTTAAAGGAATAGTAAAAGAATATTTATATATAAAAATATGTTTAAATTATTATTTAATAAAAATAAAAAAATAATATTTGTTTTTTTTATAAAAAATATTTTTATTTTTATATTTTTTGTATTAAAAAATATTTTTGTAAATAAAAAAAATATTTTTATATTAAGATATGTTTATTTTTTTTATAAAAACTATATTTTTTTAATAAAAATATTTTATTTTAATAATACATTTAAAAAATATATTTGATTTTTTATATACAAATATTTTTATTTTTATATTTTTTATATTTAAAAATTAATTTTTTAAATAAAAAAAAATATTTTTATATAAAAATATGTTTAGTTGTTATATAAAAACTATATTTTTTAATAAAAATATTTTTTTTAATTTTTTTATTTTTATAAAAATATTTCTATTTTATAAAAAATATACCACACACACATCCAAACCTTTATCCTTTCCCCGTTTGCATAGCCAAAAAATGTTTCCCATCTTTGCCAAAAATCAATTACCCCTTGGAAATATGATCCATATGGTGTGGTGTATTCTCCAAAGAATTCCCAAAACAAATCCCCTTTTTGGCAAAATCTCTCACCCACCCAAAAAACCTGATGATCTTCAAATAACACCAGCCAATTATAGAACATATATTTAAGAATGCGAAAATAAGGACTCTAAAGGCGAACCAACGTTCGTTCGCTCAACACACCTTTTTGTTTTTTGGTTGTGGCTCGGCCTAAGGTTTGGGTGTTAACGAAATAACAACACACTTGAAACAAACGCAAACGGCAGGGCAGTAGTACTGGTAGTAGTGGTGGTGATATTGGTGTTCTGTGCCACCAGAAACAACAATTATACACCAACAACCAAACAACACACCAGAAATACAAACAAATTAACAAACAACTGAAGTCCTGAATAGAAGAATTTGTTGTAAGCCGGATAATGGTTTATGGGCGAGGGTGACTACGAATGAACAAATGAATTCCTGCAAAACATACGCAAATACCCCAAGGACCCTTAAGCTTAAACGGCACGTCAAACTCACAAAAATGATTATTAGAGAGAAGAAGAAAAAAATAATACACACAAGATGATGGGAACGTCGTCTAGCCGGGATGGATGGAATGTCGAGTTAGATGGCTGGCTGTATGGGTGGTTGGGTGCATGGGATGTAATGTCACTTTCACCCTCAATGCCAAAGGCAAAACGCCCTGTGTGCGTGCGATGTGATGTGTAAGTGACATCAAAAAATCAAATAGAGAAATTATGTTTTTCTTTCTCATCATCGTCGTCATCATCTGGAGAGCGAGTGAGCGACCCAGACAATATTTGTTGTTGTTGATAATAACACGGTAAAACACTTAGCGTGGTATAATACACAAATAATAACAAGAACAACAACAGCAACTTTTGAAGGGTGTTCTTAGGCAAATAGCCAGCCCTTGCGAACACCAAGAAGTACTTCTCTATCAATAATTTGATTGTTTTGCACTTTTTTGTCAAGAGTGTGAGTGGTGGAGTGGAAGAAGTTGTGGGTTGGTCATCAAACCCAAATTACAGAACAGACACTATAATCATTTTCGGAACGTGTGCCACCGTTAAGCAAGGGGGACACAAATGCTTAGTGATGATTATATATCCCCCAAAATAAATTATACAACGCAAGTGACAATTATCTGGTTGGCTACAAAACAAGACCAGTATAACATGTTATTATTGTTTTCAGATTTTCGAGGTTTTATTTTTTTGGGAAAATTGTTTGGGAATTTGTTGATTGTATGGGAAAGTTATTTGGATATTGTTATTAAATTGTTGGTTTTTGAGGCTGGGATTTTTTGAGGAGGATAACTACTGAGAAAGGAAAATATTTTTTTTTTATTTTTTTAGAAAATAACATTTTTTTAATAAAATTAAAGAAAAAATGAATATTTTTCGAAAAAAAAAAAATTGAATATTTTTTCAAAAAAAAAAAAAAAAATAATAAATAAATAAAAAAAAAAATTTTTCGAAAAAAAATAAAAATTTTTATTTGTTTTATTTTTAATGATTTTTTGTTATTTATTTTTTTTTTTTTTTTAAAAAAAAAAATTATGAAAAAATTAGTATTTTTAATTTTTTTTTAATGAAATATATTTTTTTTTAATTTTTTTCTAATCTGTAAAATATGTTCTATTATTATTATTATTTTGTTTCAAAAATAAATATTTGTGTAATGGTGTGTGTAAATCTG